GAAGAGCTCTCCTCACTGCTGTGACTGCTCTCTGTGCTTTTGCTCACCACTGGTGCTGTTGGTGGAGGCGGAGGTGGGGCCTCTGCAGGCTCATCGGGCATCTTTGCGAACCTCATCTCAAAGACATCCTACAAAAAGGCGGGAAAAACTGGTGACAAAAGGAGCCTCAGCCACCAAGACTGCATTTTGGCCTTTTAAACTCCACCATGGGTCAGGGTCTTACTGCACTACACAAGGTGCTGTACAAGTAAATAATAATGTACAGATGGGCAAACATATTCTGTAAGCCCAAGAAAATTCTCCCATTACTTTATACAGCAATGAATATAACATTTTAGGAGCGGAATGTGGCGTTGGGTCATGCCAGGTGAAGAGCGTAACAGTTCTGCAGCAGAGAACATGGCTCTTTCCAAGGGCTGGAGGAATCACTGACTCTCCCTTGCTGGTGCCAAGAGCAGATCCACGCTTGGACCTCTGAATGGACACCTTGTAGCTGAACTAAATGTACTCTGGAAGACGCATTTGCCAACACCTTTACCTGGAGCTTCCTGGCCATGGCTACCACTTCGTGGTCTGGAGGATTGTACTTGTAACAATTAGAGAACATTAACCGAATATCTGCTGCAAAACCTTGTGCATCCTGGTATTCCCGACTGTCCATTTTTTTCTGCAAACAAACAAGCCAAAGGGAAAGGGGAGAAAAAGCCATAAGCAAAAGGCATTTGTAGCAACTGCATGGAGGACGTGCATCTTGGGGACAGCTCAGAACAGCCTCAAAAATCACATTTGTCTAAGAGAACAATAGTTTGATCTGGCTTATTGGTTCATAAATAACATTCAGAGTTTCTGTTTTTTAAAACAAGTAAGCAAACAAACACCAGACAACCAAAGAAGTCGATATTGCTCTATAACAGTTTAAACGCTTTAAGATTCTAAATTTGGGTTGTTTTCTTTTTCCAAGTAGTACTATATAAATCTGTCAGGGTCCACAGTCTATTAGAAAACCGAGTCATTTACAAAAAGGGTTTGCTGGATCAGAAACTAACATAAACAAGGATCATGGACAGGAAGGGCAAGAGTCAACAAACAACCAAGTTACAATCACAGGAGTACCTTAAGCATGTATTTCTACATGCTGCTTGAGTATATTTGCCCTGTAAATCTGAAAGGGCAGAAAAGATCATGCCCATCTAACTCTGACTTCCTGCTAACACAGGGTATGAATTTTGCTTGGCGATTCCCACAGCAAGATAGGCATTCACAGTTAAAATACACCACCTGCTCTTGATTTACAAGTCCAACTGATAGAGAATGGATACAGAATTTGCCCTTTATGAACCTATTCATAATGTTATTTCCTAGTGTAGTGAGGATAAATATCAGGAGCTAAATATTTGCACCTTGTTCCTTTCTCTTATTTTTCAGCTCTCACTTTCGTCCATTTCTTCTGCTGTTTGGGACTGAATGACTTGGGTTTAGAGAACGGTTTATAGCATTCCTAGAACTTACTTGATTTTATGCATATATTACTACTATGTATAAAACCTTAGCTCCAATTACTCCTACTGAAAGCAAAAAGAAGCTAACACACCAGATTTCATTTGCATTTAAAAGACCTGGGTTTAAAGAAATTCTCTATCTGCCAAGTGCTTGCAGGCCTCCCCTTTGTGTGTCTTGTGCACCTGTATCTCCCGGCGAAGGGAAGGGGCTGACTGGCAGACAGGCTGCACACATGATTGGGAAGACACGGCCCCTGTCCGAGCAGAAAGCAGGGCTGCTGAGGGTCTGCAACCCACACTAGAAGCCTTAACACAAGCAAAATTCCCCTTTGTTCAATGGAAGCTACTGATATTTCACAGCTACAAGGTAGACCTTGTAACTATCTTGAAACACTGCAGTGACTCCTAAAACTGTTTTTGTTCTGACTAGGGCAGAATTTCACCTCCAGGGATGCAGCTTCGGAGGGACCTGCACGCCGGGCGGTGACATTCCTGCAGCCTTACTCCCTGCTGTGCTGCAGCCAGACATCTGTCAAACTTTTGTCAGGAGACCTCATTCTCTTGGTGAATAAACTAGGAGAAAGCCTCTGAGCCACAGCACAAAGACAGAAAGGGAAATAGGTTTGTGCTTCTCCTGTCTGAAGGAGAGCTGGCCTCGTTTGAAAGCGTCTCAGGCCAATTCCAAAGCAAAACATATGTTCGAACGAAAGGACCCATTTATTTTAAAATACATCTTACTGCATGAAAGGCCTTTTTGATGCGCTTATATTTGTTTGGCACATTCAATAGCCGATTACTGCCTATGAAATACATTTCAGTGTCTGGGCTTTGCTTTCATCCAAACCCAACAGTTTTCTAGCCCAACAGTTTTAATCTGTGGATTTTTGTTTTGTCTTGTTTCCTTGTAAAAATTAATCAACAAAAGAAAAAAAAAAAGGACTTTAAATTGGTGGGCTGGAATACCTTTGCTTACAAATTCACTTTGAGATATCCAGCTGCTTAAAAGAAGTTTTACATTTACAATTGCAAGTCAGGAGTCATAGACCAGCAGGACTGGCAGAGGTGCTGGGAGGCCAGCTACTCCCTTCTCTGCCCTATGCAATATCTACCACAGAACACTCATTTTCCCCCTCAGCAATCTAATCAATTGTTTAATATTCTTTAATGTTCACAAATTAGTTTCCTAATGTCTAATGTGTCTCTTGCTCTAAGGTAAGCCTTGACCTGCCCACAGAGGAGGCAGAAAAGATTTTGTTCCCTCCCTTCTTGCAGCAATCTTTTACATGTTTGAAGACCTAACGGGTCCCCTTTCCATTTTCTCCTCTCCAAGACTAAACTGGACATCAGTCTGATCTCAAAGCACCTGCCCTGGGCATGGCATGCAGGCAGGTGCTGATGAGGGACAAGGCCACACAAGTCCAGCGACTTTAGCAGAGAAAATACCATCTCTATCAGCTAAGGAGGACTTAGCCTGATTTCTGGGGCCCTAATTGCACCTTGCAGAAACCGCCTCAACAAGAGCTGTTGCTTTGTGAAACTGTGTTTGTACTCAAAAATAGGTGCAACTGAAGAACTTTTAAAAATTCCACCCAAGAAGTTCTCACGTTCAAGACCCTGAACTCAGCTGCTCTGAAACCACAGCAATTCACTGGAAGGAAATGAACCAGCAAGCATAGTTAGATCCCTGGAGGTAGCACTTTATTCCAAAAGTAAACACCTTGTATAAATCCTCTTGCATGGCAAGGACTTGCTTGTCCACCACTGAGTAAACAAAAAGCAGAGATCCACATCCCTGCTGCTGTGACCTGGCAGCCAGAGGATGGAGTGGGAGAAGAGGTGCTCCAGGTTCCCCCAGCTCCGTCACAGGCACAGCACCCCGCCTCCCCACGCCGAAGCTCCCCAGCCTCAGAGGGGAACATGAATATACCACAACCAGGCCCTGTCTGCCTGTGGAAGAAGGCAGCAGAAGCACAGTGCTGCTACAGCTTCACAGCAAACGTTTCGCCTCCTACAGGGAATTAGGGCTGCTGCCTCTTAATTTTTAAAGTGTAACCCATGCCTCTGCCTCCCTCTCCTCCAAGGAGTTCTGCTCTTCCCCTCCCCTGCGATGACTATCAGAGAACTGAGGTGGAGATGGGCTCACTGATCCTGTCCCTTCAATTCTTCCCGCCCTCAGTCCTAGTCCCAGCACGGCACTCCAGCACGCCACTCCAATCCCAGCTATGAGAAACTCAGCTACAGCCCCTCCACCTCTCACCTGCCACCGGCACAGTCACGACAACCAAGATGCCTCCTCCACCACACACACAGAGAAAACAATCTCCAAACCCTTCTGCAGCACACCTCTGCTGGGTGTACAGCCTGAAAAAAAAAAAGCTTCTGGACATGAAGGATACTCTCTGAAGAAAATCAAACCTCATATAACCAGAGAACCAAAGAGACAAGCAACGAGGTATTCGGGAATCTATTATAGCTGCAGCAATGCTTATGTTTTACTTTCTCACATAATTCCTTCAACATTAGTTTGAAGGCCGTTAGTTGCGCTGCTTTACCACTTGTGCAGAATTAAATCTAAAACCTTTCAGAGCCACAGAGAAAGCCCCTGACACTGGAGAACTGCACTGCCTGCAAATGGCAGGTTTCTGTTCCACGCAGTTGATGTATTACAGACTGCATCTCAGAGACGTCACACTATGATCTACAGGCCAAGAGCAATGATAATAAAACACTCCATAAAAAAAAACAATACCAGGCAGCACTTCAAACAAGTTTATTAAGAAAAATACTACCGCGTGGGAAGACAAATCCAGAGTCTTTACGTGCAAAAGACTCCACTGGGTCTCCAGTGGAGACCAGTTTTCTGTCCTACGCTGGTCTCCAGTATTCTGTCCTACACTAGTGAGGTACAGAGGGAGAGTATCACCTGCACTTGCAGAGGAAGTGCTATCAGAGGTGTACACTTTTTAAAAGAATGAAGTTAGGACTATAAGGAGATTTAAGCGTGAAGAAGTCACTGACGGAAGAAATCATAGTTTTGCACCTAGATTTTGCAGAATACAGCACAGAATTCCTTGCAATAAGAAGCCACCTAACCAGACATGGAAATACCAGCTTTGACAGAGTCAGGATTTCACTCTCCATCTCTAATCTTACTGCATTCACCCAGGGCTAGATCCACCAGGCTGCAGGTATCTCTGGAGACCCACAGCATCCCTAGGAAGTTGAGGGAATGTGACTGAGCTGAGAATAGGTCTGACAGGACTAGGTTTACCAGCAGTCCCACTAAAGTCAGTACAGTAACTGAATGAGTTCATCTAGGATGTGATTATCTAACGACTTGTGTTCACGAGACTAGCAGAGAAAAGGCTATCAATAACACTTCATCACTCTAATGTGATAACAAAAAGAACAGCTGCACTCAGGAAGAGACGCTTCTTCCCATCTCAGTCATTTCTGCGAATGAGACATACTCTGAAATTCCTTTAAAGCTACTGGCCAGTTTATAGACTCTTAGAACAGATTTTGACATGTAGCCTACAATAAGCATGGGCAAATGCAACTGTATTGCGCAGTAAACAGAACATCATATATGAAGGCTCCTGATGCCACTTAAGTACTGCACCTCTGATTTGACTTACAGAAAAACACTAAAAACCCTATTTGCAACCTGTTCCTGCTCCCAGCCCACTCACTGGCATCAGAGGAGCAAGGTCAGATCCACTCAGCTGAGAAGGCGGTGACCCCTGGAAGGGAGCAGATCAGAGCACGTAAGTGACCCTGCTCTGAGCAGGAGGCAGGGCTCCTGACCAACCTCAATTATCCATTAGCCTATGATCCGAGCCACGCAGAAGGACCTCCAGGCTGGTGGAGAAGAGCAACTCCAATGCAAAGTGAAGCGAGCAGACCTTGACAGCATGTCATAGAATTAAAACAATGTACAAAGATTAAGTAGGCTTTCAGCACCGGGCATCCAAAATCAGCAGGATGGTGAATGCACTGCAGTACCAAAACTGCGAGGAGCTTCTTCCTTCCTCATCCATGCTCAAGAGCAAGAGAAAACGGAAACTTATGCAAGAAAACACTGGGACTTTCCTCTATCAGCAGAACATTAAAGTCAGGTAGCCAGCTTTGCAGTCTACCATGTTCAACCCAGCCATTTCTCCTGCTTTTACCACTGTATTTCAGGCTCCCTCTTCTTGCCCGCAGCTCAACTCGCCCTTCGTCTTGCCCTCTTCTCCTCCCAGGAAATTGCTGTAGGCCTTTAAAACAGCTTGGCTTAATTGCAAATCAAAAATACTGAACGTTGCACTGGCTTTTGTGAACAAAGCAAGGGCACTGCAGGCTCAGGAGAAGAATGCCTAGCTCCACCAGAGCCTGCTTCCAATGCCTTTCCCAACTCAGAGACAGTCTTTTCTGTACAAACCCAATCAATAATAACCGTAATTAGTACTTGGATAGCGCCTGCCAGATATCTGTCCTCACAACAGCCCTGTGAGGTAGGTTAAGTATTATTATCTCCATTTTATGACTGGAAAAACTACAGCACAGAGCTGTGGGGAAACTTGCCCAGGATCAAAGCATCAAAACAGTAATTAAACCTCAGAGACCGGTAACTCCTAGTCTAATCCTCAATGTACAGACCATGACAACTATTCTCTCACCACTAAATAATGCAACTAAAATACTCATAAAAATATGGCAGCTGTAGTAAGAACCCTTGCAGCATCATGGCTGAATGGCATGGCACATCAAGAGCACGACACACTGCTTCCAGGTACTACGTAGGACTTGCCAAGGAACATGAAAGGAATCACGAACACAGGTGCCCTTTTGTCACCTGGGCATTTAGACAATCCCAGGCATTGGCTCAGATGGCAGCAAAACACTTCTGGCATGCCAACGAAAGCCAGCAGAAATACCTGAACTTCCTGCACATGGAAGAAAGTCTCACCTCCACCAACACTGATTCCAACGGCCGGCTGACAAGCAGAAGATGAGAACTAGAAAAAACAACAGCTTTGCTCCATGGATATTTAGGAGGGATTCAGAGAAACCTCCCAGTCTACTGGGAAAAACACCTTTAATATTGGACCATGCTAAGCTAAGCTCTTGAAGAGCCAAGCATGAACCGCACAAGCATCACGGTATTTCCTCCCCTCCCCGAGTACCAGGCGATCATCACGTTCCGGTTGGAATTGCTCCGCGTAAGCCTATCTGGACCACACATCATGCCAACAAGTAGGCAGGCAGCAGTTTCTGGAAATGGGATACTATCAATTGAATCCTATGAAATACAGCACCTCTTCTTCTCAGCGTGCAACACAATCCCAAGGATACAAGTTTAAATAGCTGGACTATCCACAAAGAGGAGAGGATGCCATTGTACAGTCTGCTTTGCAGGGCAGAAAAAAGATGTCCCAAGTTATGGGAAAAAAAGGAGAGGGGAAGGAAACAAAATATAAAAATATCCAGATGATATCCAAACAGGTTCAGTTTTCCACCCTTGTCCCTTCCCCCTCCCCCAGAAGGAGCCAGTCCTCTGCAACCAGAGGGCTGTGACACCCTGCAAAAGAGGTGGTAAATGTGGACGTACTTTAACAGTACTGAGATCCATGGGGTGTTTGATAATATCATGATAGTCATGTAATTCCAAGGCCTCTGCATCAACAGGCTTGTAAAAGGGCCATGCATAGGCTGCATGCTTCTTCGAGAGCATCTCCTTGAGAATGCTGTCACAGTACTTGAGGTGCTCAGAGAGTTTGCCCTTCTTCCCTGCGTGCTGGGGGACCTCTCCGTCTTCAAGGTCTTTCTTTGGTGGTTTGATGGGCCGGCCGCCGCTCTCCCGTCGAGCGATGATTTTGGCCTGCTTGGGGTCCGAGAGGGGTGTGGGCGACTCGCTTCGGCTGGCAGTGATCGCGGAGGTGGTGGGGGTTGTCGTGTCTGCTTTCCGCTTCACTCCCTTTTTCTGAAACAGCAGATGGACAGGTGTCATGAGTACGTGCCCAGCTCTCGTGCTATGCTAGCAGAAACCTAGCACAATTCATCCTTATATTTGAGATCTGCCTGTCCCCTGACAGAAAATACAAGTACTTCACTGGGATAAATGGGACTTGTGACTAGAGGCTTCAACACACAATTCGGTGACTACAACACGATGTATTACTACACGTCACCTGAGCCACAGTAACCAGCCATTTGCACGTCTCCAACCCAACCCCAAACATGACGCAAAATGTGTTAGCTCTATGTATTTCACTGAGATTTAAACCAAGGACTCTTACCTCATGTTTGCCAAGGGAAAGGAGGGCGCCCAGTCGATTACTGCAGCTCAGCTGATGCATCGTGACTTAGTAAGTGTCAGTAACTTAACCACATGTCTGAGTCCCCAGTGGCAGCATCAGGCTATAAGTTCTGAACCAAAGCATATTAATCACCAAAGACCCATGAGCCCTCGCTCCCTTGTATTTAGTGGGTGTGCTAAAGTAGTTTGCTTATTTTGGACACAAGCAAGAATTTAATGATTTTGCCTTAAGCAAATAAAACCTCTCTCACATAAATTCAAGCTGTGACTGTCCAGTCAGCTCCCTCTTGTGCTCCTATGAAGGATTTATTTCTCTGGAGAGAGAGAGAAAGGGGGGAAAAAAAAGAGTTCCTTAGGGAGATCTAAGGGAAATCTTAAGTAAATCCCAAGCAGAATTACTTTTGCAGTCTGTGTTTGGCAAACTCACTTCTGGCTTCATCCTTGAGTTTTAAAATTAAATTGATTCCCAGAAGCAAGTTATTTGGACAGAAACTGAAGTATGAGACAGGCTTCTGAGGAGGACAGCTTAGCTGCAAGAAGACCTGACTTAGGATTTCCCTAGTAATTCCCAAACTATAGGGTTAAATAAGCAAAACAACTCTGTGGCTCTGCTGGCCCATGCAACCTCACAGCAGAGAACACCAATACTGTTGCAGTTAGTCTCTCAGTTTAGGAAAAAGAAAAAAAAAAAGCAAGCTTTCTCTGAGCTATGCTTTCATCATTTTTAAAGCAATATACAGCTTGCTAGGAAAATTCCAATTATTTAGAGCAACGTTTTCATTTACCCATAAATTAACATAGTAAATAGTGAAACACCAATGGCAACTCCCAGAAAATTCCTCAGTAAGGAAGACAGAACTAAATGCACCCAAAACCTGCAGGCAACATCAGTCTCCTCCAACTGGAGTGACAGGCTTGTCTTGAACAGGTTTATGGCAGAGAGGAACATTCCTAGTGCTTGAGTCTGCAAACCTTAAAGGAACAGTCCCAGTGAAATCGGGGGTCAGTTACAGAGGGAAGAGGTGCTTTGGGCTAAATGGTGCCAAATGGGGGAAACCTCCCAACAGCCCTCTGGTTCATGGAGCATCAGCACTGGCTAAGGCTATGGTCAGATGAGAGCTTGTAACTGAGTTGGAGCAATTACAGTTGACATCACTTTAGCTGGGGTACGATAAAACTGGCAAAACTTTTCTCAACGCTCTCAAACTCGACAGCAAGCACTTGTCTGAGCACACCCCGAAGAGACAACGATGGCCAGAGACGCAGGAGTCAAATGCGGAGAAGGAATGTACGTAACCAGCAGTGAGGGGATGAAAATAAAGCACTGCTTAGCAATATTGCCTTCTGAAGAGGAAGGGGTCGAGTTCTCCATTTACCTTGACTACCGGTGGCGTAGGAGGCACCACGGGCATTATCGGAGCAGCAGGCGGAGGGGGAGCAGCGGCGGGAGGGGCAGTGACAGGCGGGACATTAGCAGTGATGGTTGGCACAGGGGTGGCAGCAATGACGGGCGTCTGAGACACGGCTGGAGGGACGTTCTGGAACGGGGCCGGCGGGGAAACGGAAGACACGGCCACTGCTTGCTGCGCTCCTTTCAAACGACAAAGTGAAAACACACTGCAATGTACTGACGGTTACGAGTGCCGACAAGACATTGGGAACAAAGTGACACTGGTGCTGCTGGACTGTGCAATCATGGGCTTGGGAAAAGGCTCCCGGTCCAGGGCCACGGGAAGAGCACAAAGGACACAGTGTGATTTGCTTGGTGCTGTTACCCAGGGGTCAACAAAAAAAATGAGAAATCACTGACCTAAGTCCTCATACCATGAGCTTTAGGTGAGCCACATGCCAGCAAAATTCTTCAAGCTTTGCACATGGGGTGTGTTGCTCTGGGACAGTCTTCACCCTTCTCATGCTCTAAGAGCAATCCTGCGCTCAGCAAAAGAGCAGGCGCTCAAGGAGAGGGAAAGGAGGGAGATGGCTCTTTTGGACAGCCGCTGTCCTGCACAGACCTCCGTCTGGGAGTGGTTTTACTATGCATGGCAAATGGTAACAACCACTCCCCTATTGCCAGCTAAACACCCAAGAGTCCAAAGCACTTCAGATGCGCCACAAGTTATACAACGAAAGAAACAGAGCTGGGAGCAGAGCCTAAGTCTCCTGATAGCCAGCCAAATGGCTCTCGTGCTACACCTGCACTGTTAAAGAACAGCCTACTAGTGTAAAGTTAAGGGGGATAAATCTAGTAACTAATAACGAAAGTAGAAATACTCCTCTATGTTTTTATAGCAACTTTTATCAAAGGATGCTGAAAAGACATCATCACAAATTTCTCTGAGCTTGGATGAAGTTGTAGCTCCATTTGGCACCTGACATGTGGGAAAACAAAGAGGAACAGTTGACTTTCCCAGAGCAACAATTAGACCTTGCTTACAGAAAATAATTTGCAATGGTTTAATTCAGCTCACACAAGCTCCTTTACGAACTGTTCTACTGTGCCTGCAGACATTTTAGTCCTAAATCCATTTAAAATCAACTCCAGGTAAGCTGAACCAAACTTAGTTTCTACTGATACGCAATGGTCTACACAGCTTTTTGCAATGGCTTAAATAAATCCTTTCAGTTGATCAAACTTTATTCTATGATGTTGCAACCATGTGTGCAAAAGAAAAATGTTATATAGCGTCTAGGGGATCAGCAAGATTTAAGTCCAAGTCTCTGCTGCGTCAGACTTCTGCCAGGACCTCGGGTGAGCTGTATAAACCCAGGCCTATAAGGGCATTCCACGCGATGGTCTGTCACTTGCAGCAGACCGGCACGTCTAAATACGTTGCCTCTTCTTGCCTTGGTTTCTTCTTTGCATACAGGAAGCAACAGCATTGCCCTCCCTCACTGAAGTGCTGTGTGGATGGGTAAGTCACAGATGGTATGATGTTTGTATAGCAAATGCAGAGTGGCCGTAAGACAGACAAGCCCTCAAACACTGGGTGAGCGTTATCTAGACATCTCGCACTTTCCTCCACTGCTTTAACCGTTAGACTACAGGCTCCCTTCCCAGCCTCTTCGCCATCTGCAAAGCCAGGCAGCTTGAAAGGTGGGTCAGGCCTCAGCAACAGGCTCGTAACATTTACTGTCACTGGATTGGGTTAATACCTGCAGTCTGTGTGCCCGCTGATGGCTTGCGACCTTTGCCTTTAGGAACTGGGGGTAACAATTCAACTTCCTCCTGAGGCATCTGGGCCACCTTCTGTAGAAATATCTTCTCCAGGGCTTGGGCCATGAGAACGATGTCATCTGTGGGCTGCAGAAAGAAGAATACAAGCCCATGCTGTATCATCCGCATATCAGAAGCGGAGAGGTTCAAGATCAGGTTTTGAAATCCCCAGTGACACTGCCCTTCAAATAAATGATGGTATGCAAACTCCAACAATAAACAGACTGGCTCTTCTCCCTCCTTCTCCCTCCTGCTCTTCTATTCTGGTCTAGCATGCAATAATTACAGCCTCTAAGTACGCTGCATTCAGAGAGTTATCAGGCCTTCCAGTAGGAGCCTCATAACTAGCATCCTGTGCAACAGCGTGGAAGCAGCAAACTGGAACAGATGAGCTGTCCTCCTCTGCTTGCCAGCAGGTCCAAGACGAGAGTGTAAACACATACTCTGTGGCTCAAACTAATTAATTTATTATTGTTCTCCAGTATGGGTCAACAATGACAAACCATTGTAGAAAACATAATACAAAGAATACAGGCTTTTAACAACCTAACAAAACAGCAAACAAGCCAAACCCAAAATAATAATAAGCAATCTAAAGGTGTGCAAGTATGGACAAGACATAGGCAGAGAACAGAGTCAGACTTCCTGAACTGCTCTCTGCTGCTAAGAGGTACTATTTACTGTTAGACAGCCAGTGCAATATGCAGCACTAATACCCCACATAACACCTGCAAAGCACTGCACAAACTTTAGCTCATCTTAAAGCATTCCTAACTGGAAATAAAAGGAGTAAAAACTTGCTACATAACCCCAAAGCAGAAATCTACCTATAATTAAAAGGCACATTTGCCATTTTAACTAGTCTGGGGGAAGAAAGACACAGCATAAAGACAGCTTTGTGCATTTCAAGTAATGTGGTTGCAATTAGTGGCATTTCAAATCCTTGCAAGGAGGGCCTGGAGCACAGCGGAGCTGGCCCGGTTCAAAACCTGCACTGTAACAGCTGTAGGTGGGTCTTTTCTAGGCAGTGCCCCAGCTAAACACTTCTCTGGGCTCTTTACCTTGTTATAAATGTAACAATTTGTAAACATGGTGTTGAAATCCTGCATACATTCACTGGCGCTCCAGTAATAGTTATGTTCCAGGCGCTTCTTGATCGTCCCCATGTCCATGGGGTTTTTTATTATTTTGTGATAATCCTGTTGGAGAAACAGGAAAGACGTTACATCTCCTGATATGCGGAGTGTTGTTCCCATCTCCCTCTAGTCCCAGCTTTCTCCTCATTCCCACTCCCAAAAAACACATCCCCCAAATTTTTGTGGAAATCGCAAATATCATCCCTGCTTTCATTTATTTTCTGATTTGTAGCCTTTGAGTCTATCATTATTATGAACTTGACTACAAAGCACAAGAACTCCTTCCACAACCACCAACCTTCCACAACTCCCCCCAACACGTGCTCAAACACACACACAAAGGGCTACTTGGACATTATCAGCTTTTTATAAATACAGCTGGACTGGGAAGGCACTAAGAGTAACATGCAGAGGAAAACACGCTTTCTGAGCAGCTCTCCCGGGAAGCTGTTTGCAGCCTTGACACCCCTAGACGAGGCTGTAGGTGCCATTTTGGATTGTGCGGCAGAGTGGAAGGGTGTCGCACTTGACAGCTAGACCAGCACCGCAGCGGCACGCTTCGTGCTCGCGTGGGACCAGAAGTCGGGGCAGCGGGGCTGGCGCTAGCTTTGGCAGGGCATCAGTTTAACAGCAGACTAGCTGCAATTTGGGAAACTGCATTTCTGCCTCCCTTTGTAAAAGGCTGCTTTTGGCACATACAGAAATTTATCAGTGCCAGCACTGGCTAAGACTGCTAAAAGTTTCAGTCTCTCTTTTAAGTTCATTTCAGCCCTTAAAAGGCTTCCACATGTTAACACCATTTCTCTCCGGGCTGGTCTCAAGCATCTGTACAGGCTGTATTTAGCCTGGAGACGCTCTAGGCACGCAAGGTTATACGCTGTGATTTTCTCATTCTGGAGAAGAGCAGCAAGCCCTCTTGCTGCACACACGCGCGAAGCCACGTACAGCCCCTGGCCGCTCTCTGAGCCCAACCCTCAAGCATGACCCGAGACACCAGTAGTTCCAGGCGAGGCATGCTAGGGCAGAAAAGGTAATCCTGCTGGCTACTGGGCTCGTGGCACATTTAGGCCAAACGTGAAAAATAACTAGTCTTCCAACAGACTCCTCCTTTACATTTTCTGGTAACCTGCCCTAAAACCACCTCAAAATGCCTCACTGAGAAACTAAATCCAGAAAGAGATGACACAAAGGAGCACAGACATAGAGAAATATTATAAAGGTGTTAAGTGTTTTACTCTTTTGGCTAGCACTTTAAGCAGTACCCATCAACAACATTACAGAGTTCAAAAGACTCCTGATCCAGTCCATAAAACTGGGTTATAACCTGCGGTAACTGGAGCTCTCCTGACCTTATATCCCAGAACCATGCTCCCTCGAATCCTACGTGCAACCCTCTTGCTCAAAGCAGCCAGAGTTAATGTGCAATGGGCTGCCTGGCTGAGCCGAGAGCAGGGCAGACAGGGGGGCGGTGGTGTCCGTATTTACGTGAAGCAGGTAGGTGGGGGTATGCCTCCACTGCTGAGTTTTTACACTTACAGACCCCTCTGAAGAGGTGAAGAGCATGTGGCTCTGTTGTCTGGAAGAAAACAGCTTAGTAAACTTTGGTCATTTATGAATAACCAGGCTATATCTTGTACTATCTGGTCTGACAGAGACAGGGTATATATTATATATCATCAGGCACAGGAGGCAGACAGGTAAATGCAACCATTCTGTTCTTTCTACTTCCAGTACAGCATTTGAAAATATCTAGCTCCACAGTATGCTCGGTAATTAGCTTTTCCTGTCTTCCTCAACACTGAAGTCAGTGGCAAATCCAGGAAAGCCTTTTGGAAACACAAGTTATGTTGGGCCCAATGCCAAATGCTCAGAAGAGCGTGGGCTTCAAGGCTCTCACTCAAATGGGACAGAGGTGGGATAAGGGGTGAAGACACATAAAAGTAACCAGAGGTAAGCTACAAACAAAGCACTATGCTTCAGATGCTCTAAAGACAGCTTGCCTGTGTGCTCTTCTCATCCCTCACTAAGTGAGAAGTAGTTTTTTTTCCCTTCAGAGACCTGCACCTCTCCAGCTCTGAAAAACACCATCTTCTAATTCAGTGAGTCTAAGAGTATTCAAGGAAATCCCCAGAAGTAACCTAGCCATTCTGATCCAGTGATCAGAAAACTGATCTCACTAACACAAAGCCTTCTAAGAACAGAATACGGAGCAGAAGACGATAGACACGTACCGGCAAATTCAATTTAATTGCATCAACAGGTTGGTAGAAAGGCCAAGCAAACTGATGCTTCCACAAGGTCTTTACCACAACGTTTTGCATATATTGCAGTTGGTTGGTTTTCCGGCCAGGCTTATTAGGATTAGTGACCTCCGGAGGCGGCGGATTGACAGGGCCCTGAGGAGCCTGGATTGCTGATGTGACTGTCGACATTTTCCTGCTCTTGCTCTCACTCGCTGTCACAGCAGCAGCACCTGGGAGATTTTCTTTCTTCCGTTATGCTCCCTGAATGGGACTGACATCCCATTTCCAGGGTCCAACCATACAACCTAGATCAAATGAGAGGAAGAGGACAATGTGTAAATACAGATACTTACTTGAAGTAGGCATATTAAGATACTTCTGCTGTTGATAGCGTTTGAACGCAGGCTCTTTACCCCATCTGCTTCATTCGCCGTAACACACTTTATCTTGTCAATGGGCACAGTTCAAGTACCAAGAGACAGTGGAACAGCAGTTCCCAAACTCAGAGCCTGCAGAGAGCCAGTAAGCTTCACAGGACTAGTTCTTGCTTTATCTGGCTCACAGAGCATCTTCGTGCAAAGGAAACACATGGGGTAGCATAAGAACACGGTTAGGGAATACAGTTCGGATGTAATGGAGGGACTCCCATGAATGCACTGATCCAAGCTAGAAAATCCATAGCTTGCAGCTCCACGTAAACTTAACTGCATTGTCTCCAGATCCATGCTGGCAGGCACTGAGTCAGCTCACAAGTCTCTACACTGGTGCAATGGTTAGTCTAAAATCCCATAACCAAGAGTGGACGACAGCCATCAGAGGACCTTGATCCAGAGAAATGAAAGAAGGGGCAGAGGGAGGTGCTGTGAACAGTTGCGAATAAAAGGTGTCACCAGAAACATCCTAACTGGAAGTGATCTGCACTTTGAACCTCAAATGTCTTACTATGTCCCTTACTACATGTACCTGACTGGGCCCTCAGTTTCATATGGAAGCCTCAAGATACAGGCTCAATATAAATAATAATTAATATTATATCCCATGACCTCGCTAAGAGAGCATTATCACGCTCTCTCTTAAAGGCACATATGAAATACAGAATATACAAACTGCATTATTGTATTCTATTTTTTCCCCAGCAAACTGCAGGGAAAAAAAATGGTCTAGTATCACTGTGTCTTGTATGCCATATGGTAAACAGCTTTGCTATGTCATCTTCCATAAACATTTGATATTTCAATCCACATCAGAACTGTAGCTACTCTCCTCACGGCAAACAGACCACAATCACTTTCTAGAAGCAAATTATTTCAAATATGTTCAGAAAGCCACACAAATACTCTCACTGACACAGGCTTCTTGGTTGCACAGAGAAACATGAGCAGAGACAGAAGCTGCAATAATACAGGAAGAAGGAGAGAGCAGTAAGACATCCTAGGAAAAAAACCAAAAACCTCTTTGAGACATCCCTAATCATCTCTACTGAATATCTAGACTAAAGATAGAACATCAACTTACCCTTTGAGTTGCTGATTAGATGATGGCAAAAAGTAAACACATACCTAATTTGGGGGAATTTTACAAAAACAGATGTGTACAAACATAAACAGATCTGCAGCAGAGAGGGATGTTTAAATATCAGTCTTCTCAGGCTTGCCCAGGTAGTGAAGGCATTTGCATTCCGGAGGCGAGCTGCTGCCCCAGCAGCTCCGTAACTAGGAGAACACGCCGGCACCCCAGTGACATTGTGGCACAGGGAACCACGCCATAAAGCGGCCGGTGCTCCGCGTGCCACAGCTATCAGAGACACTTGAGTGCTCCAGGAGCTGCGGCAAGGGTGCACCTTGCCATGGACCAGTTTGGCTTGGCTCATAGGTGTCCCTGGCTCCAGAAACCAGATCTGGTTTATTTTCTTAGAGTTAATTGTATAGGTAATTTTTTATAGTGCTTCTATGGAAAATGAAATTGTTAAAAACCTAAAACAAATCCGTCTGTGAGTGCGCGCGCTTAAGCCTGCAGGGAACAGACAAGACCAGTTATGACTCTGCCATTGTCCATTCACGAGACCCATCATATTCCAAGGATGTAGAAAAAAGCAGAGATGACAGTAGGACTTTCTTGTGCCATATACATGGCACAAGTATAGATCCAGAATCAGGCCTCTGGTCCCTATTCTTTGGTAACTGAAGAGCCCAGCTTAGTACTTCAAAAAGGACTAGTCTCTGTTCCCCAGCCCTCTCGTCTGATCGTGCTGGCTGTGTTGCTGTTGGCAGGCAGGGTGACCACCAAAGAGCCAAGAGGGATGCTGGCAACCTCTGGACAAGGAATTTCAAAACTAGGATGCTACTTGGGATTTCAGATTTGGAAGAACCTGGGGAAGCATTTTCTCCTGATGCTCCATCAACTCAAAGCAGCAGCAGAACTATTGCAAAATACAATCTCCAGACCAAGGGGGGGAAATTATTAAAGAATTAAAAAGAAGAAAAAAGATAATTGGGAAGGTTCACTCAGTCTCCTTCTGGGCAGCTCGCTGCACGGATTTCAGACCCCAAGGCCATCATCCCAGTGTACGCAATGCTGACTGCAGGCCCCTGGTGACCACCATTGAAGCGTTTTGTTTGCTGTCATCTTGATTAACAAACTGAATCCAATGCAAGGATTGATAGGAAATAAAACACCCACAGAGAGCAATTGCTACTGCTGTAGGGCATTTCAATCACAAGTTTGAAACTACGCAGTGTAACTTAAGTCTTCCCTTTAAATAACCTAAGGTTAAATACAATAATTCTCTTTTCATTTGAATGTCCTGATGTCCTCCTACCTCTCGAACTCCATTTGATACAGTTTTTTTTTTTTTAATTAATTTTTATTACATCACAGAACTATAATTTAAAAACCCCCAGATCTAGCTCCTGCCTCTCCCAAACTCCCTCTCTGACCTTAGCAAAGTCCTTTAGTATCTTCACACCACAGCTCCTCGTCTGTGCCACAGAGATAGTGACAGTTCCTTTCTGCCTTCGTCTGCTCCGCCCAGCCAGCCTGCAAACTCCGAGACATGCACTGCCTCTTCATGTGCACATTTTGATCATCAAGCTTAAACGAGGCTTGTACAGTCCACGTAAGAGAAGCATGTAACAGTCATCAGGGACACAACTCAGAAAGGATTTTAATTAAGAACATTACCAAAAGTAGGAGGGGCAGAATCATGACAGCCAACTCAGCTTGTCCACTGACAGCTGATCCTCTTTAACTTGCATGCTCCAACTCATTGGGTATTACAACCAAAGGTGGCTACAAACCCCAAACCTCTTAGCAGCACTGACATTGAAATGCTGGATCCTGCAGCTGAAAGACAGGAATAGCTACCTGGGCTATCTCAGCAGCACTGGAAGTATCTGTTCCTGGCATAAATACAGCTTTAATGTGCATGTGCCTCACTGCACCCTTTTAATCCTTGGTCCCTCAGCTTCCTCATCATTTGACGGGGAAGCTGCTTTGATATCAGATTATTTCTTAATTTTTAAAACTGAAAATTTGTTTCTACATCCATTCCTTTACTTCTAAAGTTTCAAAATAATATTCTTTTTAAGAATGTAAAAAGCAGGATTATGGGGAATCTGGAAGCTGAGGGTGCAAATGCTTTGTAAATGTCCAGAAGTGTATGACATTGAATTCAGAGAGGCCATGGCCCTGCCTGAGAAATCTACTAGTTGTCAGACCTCATTTATCAAATGAGAAAAGCGAGAGGCATGACCATCTGACATCCCAGCTTACCACACAAATCATCCAACATGACACTTAAGTAGACTCACACACAACAACCAAGCAAGCTTACACAAACTGTCCCATAACTACAAGTGGAATCAAAATACACAGCTCTAGTCTAACCACTTCAGCATCTACCGAAATTGCATTAGTATCAATAATTATTTAAACTATTAGGGAGCCCAGCTGTGAACCAGGACATCACTGTACAAGGTGCCGTACAAGCGTGGAACAAAGACTGCCAAAACCAGCCTTGGCACAGACATCACGTGCATCTCCCGGTGAGGGCCTAAGGTTGGAGTTCTTTTAGCCCTGGAGTAATAACTTCTTAAATTCAAATCTTTAAATAACTACTTATCCTGTTCCTCAGACCTGTAATGTTCATGTAACAGAAGCTGGTTTTGATTCTTCTGGCTGCACATGTACAGTTCTGATATTACAAATTTAAAGTACACCTTTTCTCTGTCTTACGTGAAGAGTGTACACTGCTTCCCACATTGTGCATTTCTCCTTCTTACTCATCCCAGTCTGAGATGATAACTAAAAGCAAACCCCAAACCCAAACTCTCAAATAAATCTTGCTTCTCTGCAGTTCAAGTCTGTCCTTTTGTGCTAAGTTGCAACCTCAGTGCGGCATCCAGCAAAGCTACAGGGTTTGGCTTATTCCTCAGCCAAACCAGTCATCAAAAAAAACCCAGCTAGGTTGGAAGGATTTTTTCTTTAAAAAAAAAAACAACCAAACCTTTTCTTCCATTGAGTTGCTTGGATGGGTCAGTCAGCGGAGAGACAGTTGGCAGAGAGCAAACGTGTTAATAATTCCCTGTACTAGCAGGATGACATTCTACTCAGCTGATGCAGCCCACAGACTGTCTGCAGTGGTGGAGACTATTTTAAAAGAAGCTATAAAGCCCCATGAAACGTGCACTGTGCCAGTAAGCCTGCTGCTTCAGCTAACGGTTCTGCCACTTCCTTTGGCAGTGCCAAACATTTAACGGATGGCTCACTCCCTTGCTGCTGTTCAGGCAGTACAGGATGGTATTTGTTTTGATTGCAAAATTAGGAGGTAGCAACCTTTATGTTAGCATGTGAGCCCAGCAACTCTTTTTTTTCCCCCGCTTGGTATACTATTTCTGCATGGCGACTTGGACACTGATCAAAAACTGGCGCAATTCCAGCCAGAAACAGCAACATAAATCTTCCCATCAGGGAAAATTATCAAGTTGAAGAGATGTGCCTTGACCTCATCTTTATCTCCACATTATTATTTACACTACAGTAGCACACAGAGGCTGTGCAGAGACCAAGGTCCCTCAGCGCTTAGCACTCTGCAGACAGTGTCTGCGAGCTGGCGCTCACAACTCACGCTACAGACCGTGGTGAAGTGACCTGCCCAGGGCCACCCGGCGAGCCCGCGGCAGAGCCGAGAGCAGAGCCCTGAACCCCGGCCAGTGCCTAGCCCCGGTTTCGTTAGTCAGCCCGTCAGAGAAACGGCACCTCCGAAGCAGCGCTGCTCACACAGGCGTGAAAGGCAGCGACTGAGCCT